CGACCTCCCCACAAACCCTTGGCCAGTACTACCGTCACTTCTGCCCGCCTCAGCGTTGCACTACAAGGAGTCATTGAAACTCTCCGTGAGAAGGATAATGTGTTGTATCAGCAAAGGGGTGTGAGACGGTGCTGGATCATGCAAAGCGCTGAGGAGGTGATGCTTGATCTCAAACGTAACTCCTCTTCTCCTCGTGACCATGCTCCTCGCACTATTGATTTCACAACTATGTATGCCAATCTTCCTCATGACTGTATTTGTCATAATGTTTCAAAAGCGGTCGAGGAAGCCTATACATATGCCTTACAACAGCACACACAGGGGCGCACACATCCTCCTACCCTTAACATGATTGTTAAAGGGCCCCGTCAAGGGGAGTGGACGGTTGATACTGGACCAAACACCTTGGCCGTTTCCCAAATTCTTGAACATCTCCATTTCATTGTCACAAACACTTATCTTTATGCAGCGGACGGCACCTTGCGACATCAGTTGATTGGCATCCCGATGGGGACTAATTCTGGTCCGGAGATAGCTAATTTGACGTTGTATTGGGATGAGGCTCGATTTGTTGATGACCTCCAGCGGCGTGATCTTCGCACAGCTCAACGGTATGCGTTCACATACCGCTTGATCGATGATGTTCTCTCATGGGGACATCTGCCACCACCGCCAGAGCACTATGGCCTCGAATGGAAGGAGACCACAGCGCCTGATGGCTCTTGCACATTCTTGGGTGCACGCCTCCAAGTCCACCCTGACGGCTCCCTGCGTATGAGTGTCTTTTACAAAGCAGCTGAATGGAATTTCCCTGTTATTCGTTATCCTAGTGCTACATCTAACGTCCCTGCACACCAGCCGGCGGGAGTGTTTACAAGTCAGCTTACTAGGTTTGAGTATGTCTGCAACAACTGGTATGATTTCAAAACTGCAGCAGCGATGCTCACACGCTGCATGCTTTTTCGCGGGCACTCTCCAACAACGCTTGCGAAAGGATGGACTTCCTATATTCGTAAACGTCAACACAGGTACCCTGCGCATGTGACCCGCCTCTCCAGCTGGTTCCGCAGCATGCTTCGATGGTCTATTCATCACCCGCTTTCTCGGGTATCTACACACTCTCCTCGGACTACACCTGTCACAGCCCCTTCCTCATTATCGGCGCTTGTCACACCTATCACAGCCTCTTCTTCATTACCTGCGTCTGCCGCACCTGCGTCCTCATCAGTCTTAGTAACCCCTTCCATGTCGTTTGTGACCCTGGCTGCCCCTTTYCGGTTCRCAGCCTCTTCCTCATCGGCCTTGGTTGCTTCTACGATTGATTCCGCRGGAGCAACTCGACCYGCASCTGCTGTGTCGCCCTTRGTCTCRGTGTGTTCCTCCATGGCATCCGTGGCCACCGCAGCCGTTGTGTCGCCCTTGGTCTCGGCGTGTTCCTCCATGGCATCCGTGACCACCGCATCTGTTGTGTCGCCCTTGGTCGCGGTGTGTTCCTCCATGGCATCTGTGGCCATGCCTGCATTACCACATGCAGAGTCCCCTCTTCGGGTCTCACCTACAACTGCCCCCCCTGTCTCTGCTTCAGCCACTTTACCACCCCTGACTTCATCCCCCCCATCTTCACCGCCTTTATTTCCCCTGGTTTTATCGTCGTCTGTTACCCACCTTCCGACTACTCTACCACCCCTATCTTCACCACTCCTACCTCCCCTGGTTTTGTCTCCATCCGTTACCCCTCTTCCTAATCCACAAACCACTTCGTCCACATAGACTCCGTCATCATGTTCTGCCCCTGCAGAAAGCCTACTTCGTCGTCCTAGACGCCGACTTCGACCTACTTCCCAACCTCAGCTTACTCCCCTTTCCTCCATCTCTGTTTTTGGACGAAGAAGAACCCGTTCATTCTCCCCACCACGGCCCTCCCCAACATCCCGTCCCCGTCTTTTGCCGCCCCAAGCATCCTTACCACGCCTGCAACGCTCTTCGACTGCAGACCTTTCTGCAACGCGGCAAACACAAAATGGGAGGGATGATGGCGAGGGACCATCTGARGATGAACTTGGCAAGGGGACTGTAGGAGATTCTGTAGAAAATCCGCCGGACCGGCCTCCATCGAATCTGTGTGGCCTCGCTGCTACTAACATCTGCCTACAAGCCTAYCGTCGGGAACCATATACTCACTCTGATTTCTTGGCCATTGCTTCCGATCTTGATGCTCAGGAACGTGAGTTATATGGCGATAACCCGGCTCTGCATCCCCCACACGATAGTAATTACACTCGACATGGGGGATTCAATGTCTCTGTTTTGGAGACTGCTTTGATAAGGCGCCG